GAGAGAGAGAGAGAAAGTGCTAAACTCCAAGTTCCCCAAATTGCTGTACAAGGATGCACAGAAACACACTGCTGGTGGGAATATAAAATGGTACAGAGAGCCTGGAATATGGTTTGGCAGTTTCTAATAAAACTAAACAGACAATTACCATATGACCCAGCAATTGTACCATTTGGCTTTTGTCCCAGAGAAATGAAAAGTTGTTCACACAAAAACCTCTACAGAATATACCCGGCAGCTTTGTGCATAATAGCCAAAAAAAACTCAGATGTCCTTCAGGACTGAGTGGTTGCACAAGGTGCAGTACCTACGCCAGGAAATCCTACTCAGCTGGAAAAATAGGATGAATAATTGACACATACCAACAATCTGCATGAATCTTCAGGAAAGTTTGTTGGGCACAAAAGCCAGTCCAAAATGGTAGGGCTGGCTGCGCTCTTCCATGTGTCCGGTGTTCTTGACATGACAAAATGGAGGAGCGGCGATGGACCACAGGACGGCAGGGGAGGTTGGGCGAGGCAAGTTTGGAACATGTTGGAGACTGGTGATGGATGCGCAAACCCACTCAGGTGATGAAGTTGACAAAGACTAACACACACATCTGAGCACCTGGAGGGCTGGGGCTGTGCTATATTCATTTCCTGGCTGTGATATTGTACTAAGTTTTATCTCACCACTGGGAGATGACATAAAAGAGTAAGAAGGGTCACTCTGCATTAGATCTTGCAACAGCTCGCACATCTCCTGTTATTGCAAACTAGAGCGCCATATATTTAAAAGGCTACTGCAAGAGGGAACCCATGAAGAGGAAATTAACAAACTGGCAGTAGGGTTCAAGGATCAGAAAGGGAGTGACGCAGGTTTTTATTGATCTAGACGTGGTTTAGAGGGAGGGAGACCCAGGATGGAGCCCATTCTCCAGCCCAGCAACTAGCTGTCGCTGGAGCCACTGTCGCCTTCAGAGCCGCCCAGCACGCTAACGATAGAGCCACAGGGCCAGGGCTTAGAGCCCAGGGTCTGCCTCGTGATGCTGCAGGCACACAGGTCCGGGCACCTGCTCCAACCCCTGCTGAGCTCCTGATGCTCCTTTCCTTAGTTGTCCCTTCTACGTGTGAGCTCTCGTGTTCTTGCAATAAACATCAGCTCAGTGCCAGAAGAAGACGGTTTGGATGCTGTGGATGGCCAGAGAGCTGTTGCTAAGAGCCATCCCATCCCACCCTGCAGGGAGACTGCTCCTCACCAGCACCCTCCATTAAATCTGCCCCCAGCCTAGCAGACTAAGTTCCTGCTGCAGCCCCTGGCTGCTCCCCCACAGCCCTCCCCCATGACTCTCCCATACCCCTCCCCACACTCATCCCCCATCCCCCCTCCCAGACCACTCCCACACATCCCTCCCCCAAACCCTTCTTCCACACCTCTCCCCAAGGACACTCTCCCAGGACCACACCCCCACACTCCTCCCCACGCTCATCCTCCATCTCCCCCTCCCAGACCACACCCCCACACCCCTCCCACACACCCCTTCCCCAGACCACTCCCCCATCTCTGGTCTTCTCTAGTCAGCCAGCCTCTCCCACCAGAGGGCCCGCCTCCCAATCCAAATTGGATCAGATCCTCCTCTAGGTGTGACCTTTGGGGTGATGAACCACAGTGAGGGGTCACCGCTTCCTTCCAAGCAATAAGCACCTGAGCACAAGAAGGGCAGCTTCCTCCTGGGCCAGCCCAGACCTGACTAGGGGAGCCGTGGCTGAGGGGAAGCGGCAGGGTACGGGAGTCACTCGAGAGAGCAGCGAGGCCGTGGCCCTGGCGTGTGGGGAGGATGGGGCTGGCAGGGCAGACTTCAAAGTCCTCAGAGGCCAAAGTCATCAAAGACTTCCAGACACATGTCTGAGGGACATTCTGTAAAGGAAAGGGGGAGAAGGGTGAAGGAAAGGGAAGTGGGGGCAGGCAAGAAGGAAGGAGGGAAAGAGGGGAAAGGAAGAGAGGAGGAAGAAAGGAGGGAGAAGGAGGGAAGGAAGAAAAGGGGCAAAAGAAAGAAGGAGGGAGGGAGGGAGGGAGCTAGGAGACCTACCACTGACCTCGGCGGCCAGGTGTGGAGGTACAGGTGCTGTGCAGGCTGGGGAGTCGGCAGAGGGACCCATGCTTCGCGGAGCCCCTCCCTCTCCTCCCATGCTGTGAACGCTCCCAGGCTCCTTGGCTTCTCTGGCAGCCCTGCCAGACCCCAGACCCCGTCCTCTGCATCTGTGGCCCCAGGCAGTCACTCTTCCAGCTGTGGTTCTAGTCTACTAACAGAGCGGATCCGTGGTCCTGGCCCAAAACTGATTCCAAAATCCACGGTCTCCAGGATTCAGACCAAAGTCATTGGCATTGGCAGGCCTGGAAACTTGGCCAACTCCCTAGCCTCGTGTTGTAATCCATCATCATTATGAGCAGCATTCAGAGCATTTCTTCTTGAGCATAATGTCTGAAATGCAGAGGGATTGTCGGGAGGCAGAGATGAACCAATGAGATACGGAGACACAACATGTGCTTTGTTAGGAATGGAAATGGAAATATGAGTCCGGGGAAAAGGGTTCTGTCTCAACATGGTTGCCCGCTCCTTTCAAAACATGAAAAATAAATTCACCCTCAAGAAAAAGAAGAAAAATGAACCTGACAGATTCATTCTTTCTCGTCTTGCGGCTTCTCCTCTGAGCCTGCATCAAGGGCCGGGCTGAACAAGCAAGGCCACACGGGCCGGGAAGATAGCCCTGCTGCATTGTTCCCCAGCGCGTGAGCTCCTTGCCAGACGGCGCTTGTAACTCAACTGTGATTAAGTGGCTTGTCCCAGGAATGAAAAAGTCAGCTTCTAGCCCAAACACAAGTAGATTCTATACTCTGCGAGCACAGCGGCCATCCCAACAATCACCACGAGTTTGGATTTCCAACCCTCTGCTTGTATTTCCAGAAGGAAAAAAAAAATCACCTCCCCTTGTTCACTGCACATCTTTTCTTCCCTCACAGGCCAGAATGATGTGTATTGTCCAGCCAAGAATCACAGCTACAGAAAGATGTTCTACACTTGACCCAGAGGGCTCTGAGACCCCAGATGTCTACAGACTTGGAAAGGAAGGAACAGGCCAAGGCCTACAGCTGAGTCCTCAACCAAGGTGGGTTCTACCACATACTAGAAATTCAAGCTGAAACACACCAGCCTCAGACAGCTTTTACCAGGGAGACTTTCCACATATCTAACCTAGATGTGGATGAACTCCACCTGGAATATAGTGGGTGCTCAATAAATATTTGCTAAGTGCTTCCTGAAAATTGGATAAATAAAAACCCCTCTGATCTCAACAGGAGTCCTAACCAAGTTCTCCAGTCTGCTGTGGGTGAGACATCTGTAATCTCCTCAGTCCCGAGGGTGAGGTAGGAGGACAGAAAGTTCGAGGCCAGAGGACCCACATTTCAAGAACCTACCTCAAAAAAGAAAGAAAGAAAGAAGAGTGATTGTCAGACACAAATGGAATCATGACCACTTTGCTAAAGATGATGATAGAGTTTGAGAATGTTTTGCAGAATTATCACAATCACCAAACAGAATTATCACAATCACCAAACCAAATTTTCAAATGCTAAGTCTAAAATAGTAGACTTTCTCTGATTTATGAACTAATTTATATAAATATTCATCCTTTCATTATAAAGTGAGTGAACTGCTTTACTGGAAAAAAAATTAAATTATTTGAAGTCAAGGATTCTCTTGGGAAGTCCAAAATAACTCTACACAAGACCAAGACCTAAAGATCCAGTCAGAATTTAAACAATGTGAATCTATAGTATTCGTTGGAGGAATACTAATATTCAAATCAGAGACACGAATCAGAATCATGTACCTGTGCTTCTCACTTGAGTAATATTTATTGCCAAAGAAATTGATTTGAACAATTGCACAACCCCCAAGTTATAACTCTGTGTGTGAGCAGCTTCAGTGGACAGACAGGTGATGTAAGGTCAGCATGTAGAGCTACTGCAACACTCAGGTCTTACTGCCTTTCTCTTACACGGGAGAGAAGCGAGCTCTGGACCTAACATCATGCTGTTCATCGCTCAGTCTCATCCATGGACTCATTTCCCAGTGTTTATCTTGTGAATATATATGTCTGCCACCTTGATACCCTCTAAAACTGAGTGTGAGGCCCACTGGGGAGACCGAGACAGAGCCACATAAAAGGCACATAATACCAAAGCAGTTTATCACGAATATCTAGTCCAGATGATACAAAGTTGAGATAAAAAGCTCCAAGATGTCTAAACAAATGATGAAAATAGAGCTTCTTTCTTTCTTGGAAAGTGTACCGTCAGTTGACCATGAGAGAGAAGAGAGGGGCGAGGAGTGCTCCATACTTGTTGTTGTTGTTGTTGTTGTTGTTGATGTTGATCAGGAGGAAGTCTTTGGAAGAACCTGGTTTCACCCGGGTCACCCGTTGCTGACGTGTTGTGGACACAGCACTGAGTGAGCTAGCCTCGTGGGACCCTGCCCTCTGTGATGCACAAGAAGAAGCCCAGAAGCAAGCCAAAATGACTCACGATTTCCGGTTCACAGCCGGTCACGGTTTCCTGCGTTTCCCATTCACCTTTGGAGGAGAAAACGTTGTTTGTGGCAGATCGGGGCGAAGGCAGAATTGTGGCTTCAACAGTTAGGCTCTCCCCAAATACCTGCTGAGGAAGTGTGGAGCAGCCAGGCAGGGAGGGGCCCGCGCCGCGTCCGAGCACCCCAGGGCCTGGGACGCCACGCAGGATGCACCGCGCTGATGTGGCGTGAGTGAGCACTAACATGTGTTTTCAATCTTTATTAGAAACAGATTAGCCTTTCTGGAGGACCCCTTTTTATGTCCATCCTCTCTGGGTTGGATTTTCCCTTCCTCCCCTGCCTGCCCCCACCAGCCCCCTGTTTAATTTAACTAGAGAAAATGACATGGTAATTTGAGCTCCGCCTCTGCCGGGTCATCCCCAGGTCAGCAGATTAGAGACATTAGCAGAAGAAGGAAGATGGTGCGCGCCAACTGCGGGGCAGGCTGACCCAGCCATCCATCAGGCTGACGGCACTGTTTGAACAATGACAGTCATCTGTCAGGAAACAGGAGGTGGCGTCTCATTAACACACCACTCACCTGCCCTGAGCTACACCTCGCTTAGAATAATATCGATCATTCACCTCCAAGGTGTAGCTTTTTCTGCTCCATGAAATAACAGGCACTCTATTTCCTTCTTTCCTTTCTTTGGAGTTCACACGGCCAAGTTGCCTGGAGAGAGAAAAGAGAAAGAGACACAGGCTGGGCCTGGGGCCTGAGATGGGAGGACAGCGTGGCGCCCCAACCTAGTCACCACCACAGAAAGCCAGACACAGCCATGGCCGGGAGGGCTGGACGTGGACAATCTGTCGGCCCCGGTGGGTCCCCACAAGCAGGGCAGGAGACTCCTCCTGCTCAGATGTGTTCTGGGAGTGAAATGTCATCTTGCCCTTTGTCTTTTGTGTACACAGATACACAGAAACAAAACCACCCAAGTGACTCAGGGTTGTAGGAGGGTTGGCACCTACCGCTCTGTGTCTCCATGAGCCGTGGGGCAGCCTTGCTGCTCTGTGTCTCCATGAGGCATGGGGCAGCCTTGCTGCTCTGTGTCTCCATGAGGCGTGGGGCAGCCTTGCTGCTCTGGTGTCTGCCTCTTGCTTGCAGCTGTTGATCGATGTGGCCCAAGGGACCCTGCCACAGAGAGAACCTCTGCAGAGGGCTTGTGTGTTCCCCAAAGGGATGCAGGGTCTTGCACACGCAGCCCTCCTCACCTGGGCCTGCCCAGGGTCTGGGATGTGTGTATGTGTGTCTTTGATGGGCCATAAATAGGCCCTCCATAAAGTTGTAATGCTGGCCCAGAGGGGAAGCTGGGCCAGCATCCAGAACGGCTCATAAACGAGGGAACATTGCAGCTCTTCTACTGTTGAATAACTGAAAACCTTCATGTGTGCACATGTGTACACACACACACAGAATCACTGAAAACACTTGTGTATGTGCACACACACACATGCACAGGTACACACGTGCACATATACACAGTCAGCCCTTCGGCAAATTCTTGGGGAAAGACAGTAATGAAACCCTTTTATCCCGTGGAGAAAGTCCCCATAGACCACAGAAGCCCAGGGGAAGCTGGGGGCTGAGTGAGCGGGCCAGAGCAGCGCCAGGGCCTTCCTCAGGCCCCACAATGCACAAGACAGCAGGGCAGAAGCACGGGCTGGTCCGTGGCCACGAAGCTCCCTTGGAGGAAATGCAGCTATGCCTGAGAAAGAGATTGTCAGCAGTGGAGAGAGATCATTAAATGTTTGAGCCAAAAGTGAAAAGGAAAACAGATACCCACTCCATGGTCCCCACCGGCATTGTCCCTCGGTTGCTGAAGTTCCTTCCTGGCTGAATTAAACATGAAGACCACAGCAGCACTGTGTGCACACCCACTCCCTGACGAGCTACCCCCTGCCCACCAGCGGCCTTCCCACAGCACCGCCCACCGCTGGTTACCTCGACGCCGGTCCCAGACTCCTCTTCCATAGGAAGGATATCAGCTTCACCAAATATTCATGCCTCCTCCTCTAGCGTGTGGAAGTCATTATCACATTTGCTCTAAGGGGGTAAAATAAAATGCCAGCCTTACCCAATTCTAATTCCAGAGAATTTAATCTACATCACACAGGATTAAAATATTGATTTTCCAGTAGGCCCCTGGAAGATAAGAGGTGGATTTTGATACAATAGTCTCGTGCACAAGCAAACCAGATTTCACTTCTCATGGCTGTCGGTTAGCTTGTCCTTTGTGCACCACAGAAATTATGATAGGAACTTCCTACTCTCCCTCAGCCACCTGGAGGGGTGGCCCTGACTGTCCCCAAACAGACAATGAATGACCCTTTCCCAAACACAGTTGAGATTCATCATGAACCTTTATCTTTTCTTTATTTTTTAAGGACACCAAATATACATCTGCATTTTGTTCTTCCAACTAACTTTCTCCTCTTCCTCTTTCTCTCTCTCCCTCTTTCTCTCTCTTTCTCTCTCCCCTTAATTGCCCAGCCTTTACAAACCCATGGCTGCGAAAGAAACACCCGTCTATTGCCCTGTCAAACAATGCCTGGCTGGGAAAGCTATTGGGTTTATAGAAGAGACAAACATTTCAGGCATGCCATTCTGGGGTAATGAAGCATAGCAACGAAATATACCTGTGCAACATTTGATAAAGATGAGCTGACACGCCAGTCCAAATAGGATCTTTTGTGTGTCTGCACGTGTCTACCATCATCGCTTTCATCTTAAAACAGGAGGGTAGCAAGAACAGAAGCAGCTGGCAGGGACCGGGAGGAGAAGAGCAGCTCGCACAATTAAACGTCGTTTACCTCTGGCCTTTATTTCACTCCCACTACCCTTAATTTATTATATGTTTTCTCCTTTTCTATGCAAAGGGGAAAAAAAG